TTAACAGGATCGTTATTTTTATTCACTACAATCTAGAGAGGAAAAAATAAATCAGGAATATCTGCTATATGAAGTAACCTGTGATCACACTGATCAATCCAGTTCACTAATTCCCCTTTATAAGGTTTAAAAAAAAAAAAAAATAAATATCTGTGTTCTAAAAAAAACAGTTTAAAAAAACACTAAAACTATGCCTCAAAACAGCTGCTGACCAAACAGATGTTACCACCTGCTAAGAATAATAAAATTGACTTAATAAAGGCAGACCTCAGCTCGAATCAAGGGACAAGGGATTAAAGCACTGAGGGGAAAAACAGTCACAAGAGCAGATATTGCTTCACCCACTCTGAACAGTACCTGTAATGGACATCATTCAGGCTCTCCATCTTCATGGGAAATATAAGGCACTACTGGCAGGAACACAGGCCCTCTCCCGATTCATTCTCCAGTCCAGGGAAAGGGGTTGAAAACATGCTGAAGCAAGGCTTTTTTATTTTTTATTTTGTTTATGCAAAAAAAGCAAGTTTGATAAACACCGTCAGAGAGCTAGAGTCTAAACATAAGCAAGCCAGTTCAGGATATAAACAGAGAATGTGATGCCTGCTCAGGCTAGGGTGGTCTACTTCTATAACAACCACCATCTTACCAGTCCAAAGCACTGAAGATTTCTCCTTTTAGCAGGGGATTGCAAGTGAACTTGCAAAACATTAGAACTATTGCTAAATGGTATTTCTTGGTTAAAAGGACTGGTGTGGATCCTGCTTTAACACAAAGTACTTTTCATACTACACCATGAAATCCAAAAGCAGAGGTTATAAATGTAGTATCAGCATCTGAAATCTGGCTGGCCAGCAACCCTCCTCAGTTTGCCAACAGTAATTAGTTTACCTTCTTCACAAGTCACTTAACTTTTCTGCCTTACATTTTCAATTTCACTGTCTCAAGGATGTGCTTCCTAACTGTACAAACATATTCTTTTAAAGACTAGGAAAGAGTTAATTAACTAGGAAATAACAGAAAAGTTATAAAAACTTTTCAAAAGAGTTATTATGAAAAAGAGCCATCATACAATCCTGAAACTGCCAGTGTACCAAACAGCCAGTCCAGCCACTGATGACTGCGCAGAGCTACTCTCTGCTGTCTCTTCCACCTCCACCTTACCTTTTTCCTCCTGAAAGGCATGGGAAAGGTCCAAGTGACACTGAAATAAAACCTGGGAGTAACCCGAGGAAGGACCAATTTGCCACACTTGGAACATTTCCTAGTTTATCACAATACTCCTGTCTATGTCTCCTCCAGATGAAGAGATGAGTAGTTTAACAGGGCAAGGCTGCTTCTTCTGGCATATTTGTGGAGCCTGAGAGATATCAAGAGTAAGAAATACTGCCTGCCGAATGAAGTGGGAAATGTGATTTACTTCCAGATTCCCTTGCCAAGGCCTGTTTCTCAAATATCGGCTGAATTTATCCCAAGCACTGCTGTGCATAGTTCCAGCTGGATATGCCATTTATTTCTTCCAAAGACAGGAACACAGGGAGTGTTTTCACCTCTTTATTGATTTATTAAATTCTACTGGATTTAGACCTAAGCTTAAAGCCTCGCTCAGTTTCTTTCCTGTCTGCTCCCCAGTCTGGGTCACAGACCTGAGAACATTTCAGCACACTGTGCTTACCTGCAGAAACCTGACCTCTGTACAAAAAGAGCATTTAAACACATGTAATGGGCACCCCTAATAGAAGTGATTTTATTAGCAGAGCCACTATTCTTTTAGCAATTCGGTTTCACTAAACACCCATGAGACCCCCATTATATATCCGGTCAGAGTTCCTTCATCCAAAGTACAAAATGTCTTCTCAATTCACTACTCCATTTAAAACTTGGTATCTCGAGTGCCAGAATTCCCTGCCCACTGTATGTAATTTATGTTTCCAATCCATTTCCCCTTCCCTCTCAGCCCTTCAAAAAGCAGGATGTAACCTTCATGGACGTTCACCCAACTTCTACCTAACCTGTTTCTTGAAACTTGTGAAGTCACGAGTTATGGCCTCCACGTGTTCCTAAATACCTGTATACTTCTCTCAAACAAACAGAGATGGGGATGTTTTTACAAATAGTCAGTCCTCTCCCTGCTAGAAATATTTGGGCAGCCTGGCTCACGTTTTCACCTCCCCTAAAAACCATTCATAAAGCTTTCCCATGTCAGACCTGCAAATGAATAAGCCTGGTTTTAGACACCATTTTCCACCTGTGACTCTCCGTGTTGCTTTACCAAGAAGGAACAGGTATTTATCTCATTTAATGAGTGATGGAGACAAATACATTCAATCCATAGCAAGCTCAGTAATGACTCTTACAGAAGACTGTGGGAACTCTGTTCACTAACTTAACTGGTGTGGGATCACCCTTTGGTACCTAATAATTTTCATGTGAGAAGTTACACAGAGAACATCATCTTACCTGGTTCTTCACAAAAACAAACCACTCCAGAAATTTTAACTAACATAAGAAAAACATTTCATGTATTATCTTATTGGGCAACAACTCCATTTTTGTAATAGGCTACCCAAGCCTCAAAGTTTGGTCAACAAGTCTGTGTTAATTACTGTAAATTACTTTCCTCTATATAAAAGCAACAAAGTGTCTTTCCAGAAATACAGAGAAACTGAAATAGGACAAGTATGATATTATATCAGCAGCTTTTGATTTTCCTTTTTTTTTTTTTTTTTGCAACACCATTCACTATTTTTTTTTCTTGTGGTTTTAAACAAATTATGTGAGATTTGTGTTAGAAAAAGGGTCTCCCTTGGTCTAGCAGACAAAGGCACTACAGTTTCTAATGGCTGGCAGGTTAAGCTGGGCACATTCACATTAGAAACAGTCTTTTAAAAAGTACTGAAGACAGCAATTAACTGTTGGAACGACTTACTAAGGATGGTAATAGCTACCTCCGTCCCTGGAAACTTTCAGCTAAAGCTGCTGGTTATGAAGTAGTAATTACATTAATGGAATTTCTGTGAATGTCTTTATAAGTAAATTAAACTAGATTATCCGAATTTATTTATCCCCAGACTGGGATATAAATCTCCAGAGGTTATCACCCTCGTTTAAAGGCCAGTAAAGCTATACTTACATTAATTTATCCTATATATTGAAAGCTCTTACCAAACTGACTTAAAAAAGCATGTCCAGTTTCCATCTTTGTAGAATGAGGCCACTGTAAGCACATACAAAACTGTAACAATTTAGCAGGGGGAGGAAAACAGTTCAGACAAAGCATCCATTCTGAAATGTTTCAAACAATTTTATTAAACAATCATGTTTTACATGCCATCAGACCTAACCCCTGAAGTGCAAAAATGTTTCTGAGGTATTAAGACTGGACGAAAACAGGCACAGTATTGGTTATTAGGGATACCGCACTACAGCACAGTGGACTTTACAAACAACAGGCCTTTATACAGCATTTGCAGGACCAGAGAAAACTGAGAACAAGTCTGTATTTGTCTTTAGCCTTGAGAGCCAAAAAGCCCTGATCATTACCCAGTTGCATCACAATAATGAAAACACAGACATGGTTAACACAGGACAATGATAAATATCAATGAGGTGTTTCTAGGCCAATACATACAGTACACGAAAAATGAAATTTAACTGCTGTATGTGTGACCAAAATCCCAACTGTCTATCCAGTCCAGCTTAATGTATGTTGTGTCTATGGTGGACTCTATTACCAGCATTTTTGTCTATTCTACACAGCTACACCCCTGCCCTGTGCTCCTGTTTGAGGGCACCTGGTCACTCGCACCCACTTCAGATAAGTCTGATGTTTTTCAGATTAACTAGAGTCAACAGCACAGTACTGATTGCAGCCTGTTACCCTTCTAGTTGCCCTCTTCCCCTCATTCATGCAGTGAAGAAGTCTAATCCATGTGGAAAATCTGCTAAAGAAATAAGTGTTGATTTTCAACTCTTCATGTAGAAAGGAATGCCTTATCTGAGAACTGCAAAACTCATGGGGCAAAACTGGCCCTTACAAATTAGGATGTTAATGAGAGTTTCACTCAACTGCCAAATTGTGCTCTAAAAAATAATTTTGTATGAGGAAAATTTGGTCATTACTTGTTTGTATTAACTTGCCTGCTCAAGGAGTCAGGGGGGAAAAGAAATACTCTTCCCCTTGGAGCAGTTCCCGGGGTTAGAAATTGAAGGCTGCAGATGTGGCAATTCTGTGCAGAATTAACTTTCTGCTGAACATCAGTTAGATTTAAAGTTGTCACTGATTCTCACTCAATGATTTTGCTAGAAAAAGTTTTTTCCACCTCAAGAACTGCAGCATTGTTCCCTGGGACCAACTGCAGTTTGCCCTCAAACATTTGACTCAAAGATACCCAGGCAAATTATGTCCTTCACGTGATATCAACACAATTCAATGCAAGATACATCTTCTAAGAAAATATTTCCAAATGAATAATAAGCAAAAGTCACTTAGAATAAGTCTCTCTGGGGTTATTTTTATCCAAGATAGATGAAAACAAGTTCCTCCTGAGACACAACTGTATTTTCAATTTGTGAAAAATAACATGACAATATAGAAGTGAACCTTATCTTAGTAGGTATTTATGAACTTATGAATGTTTCTGAGTGTGTCAGGTTTTGTGTAAGAATGGCATACTTGGAAAGGTTCTCACCTTCAGCATCTTCAGCTTTGAGACCTTACTGGGAAGCTGGAGATGCAAGCTCTATTGTCAGCACACCCATGGGCATAATGTCATACAGTCTGATCACAAACACAATTGAGATTCTCATAATTTTCTAGGATTGTTACCAATATCACTGCTGCTTACCTACAGAACAACATCTAGCAAATCTACAAATATAGAATAGCTGGAATAGAAGCTGGATACAGCTGGAGTGTTGCCTTAATATTATTTTTTAATGGAATCTTATTTCATGGACAAGAAAGGCAACCTCAAAGAAAAAGTGCAAGTAAATCACCACTTTCAGTTGAAAACTGGGTTTAGGATGCCACTCAAGACTGAACTGTTGGGCCACTTCCTGTGCAGAAGAGTTAGGGAACATACAAAAAAGAAAATGCTTGTGATTCCTAGGATGACAATGCCTGAAATCAGTGCGCTGGTGACTGAGTTCAGCTGGAAAGGAGGTCCGTTTGGACGAGCTGCAAGGAGAACAAAAAAGCACAGGTAAGATCCGGTTACAATCTCTCAGCAGTGCCAAACACTTCTGTCTTTCCATTACAACACCCTATATACAGAATAATTACAAAGAAGGGACTAAAACCGTACTTCAGAATGAGCACCTGTCTGCTTGGATAAAGCTTATCTACATATACTTTGAAAATAGTTATTAGTTCTTTCAGTACCTATCACGCTGGGGAATAAAGAGAGGAATGATACTTGTAAGGCATAACCCCTCGTATGCTAGTGACCAACCTTGACCTGTGCTATTTAAGGCAAGACTATCATTGTCCAAGAACTATCAAGGCAGAGGTATAAGGATTTGTGGCCTAATCAAGTTAATGACATTATTTCTTCCCCGATATCATCATCCACATCTCAATTCAAAGTGTATATAAATCTTTAGCAGGCATATCTGGCACCAGACGTCTGAGCTACTCTCAGCTTGTCTCTATGCCTTCACAGAAGGCTTCTTAACATGTTTGTCAATTCTCAGGTAGAGGTAACATACTTAATATTTAGTGTAGCTCAACAGGCTGTTCATGGACCAGTTCCTGGATACTGGAACACACACATCCAGCCTGTACCATCTTTTCCAGCAGGAGGGGAAAAAAAACCAAAACATTTGAGCCGTAGGTGCTACCCAAAGCACCAATGCGTGTTTGCCTAAGAGCTGTGTTTGCCATTAGCAGTACTGGAGAGCGAGGTGAAACGACAACGCAGCTTCTACACAGGAAACCAGACTGCTCCTCCCAAAAGCAGTCACCTACCCTCAACATCATCAATTCCCCCCTCCTCACCAAAGCTGAAAAAAAGTCAGCTCTGTTGATCAGATTGCCCTCCCCTTCTCAACACCGTGCTGCCTTCTGACCTTACTTGTCTTCTCTCCACTACAGTAGTAATCCCACCTTGCTCCACCTCTACACTCTCCACTGAGACAGTGACAGGCACAGGAAAGGCTGTTGCTCTGGGATGGAAAGAGAGGGCTGCTGCTTTTGTTGGATGGGAAGGAAAGGTATCAGCCATTAACACAGCCAGCTGCATGCAGCAAATGAAGAATTTGCATTTTATTATTATTTTAATGATATCCATGGGTAGGAACACACCAGGCAGCAATTCATTACAGGGAGAACTTTGTTTCCATGCCAGGAAAGAAAGGCAGCAGCTTTTATGTGGTCTGAGAAAAGAAGGGAACAAATAGTATTAGAGTTCAGAAGACAGGATAGGTTGCTTGTGCCACTCAGTCCTGTTATGACAAAGAGGTGGAATTGCCCAAAGGACCGCCTGGTTACCTTGACCATCCTTTCTTAGTCATTAGCTACTCTTTGTTACCAGCAGAGAACAGTAACACACAGGCTGAAGCAAGTCCTCCAAGTGCCCAAAGGAGAAGCACCCTAAAACTTAAAGACCTGATCACCCCTGCAGCCTATTTCCTTCATTGCCCTAGCAGACCACAAGTTCTGTCCAAGCTTCTCCATAGGCTCTTTGTGTGGTTAAATGCCAGAACAGGAGCTGAAGCAGAGCTCTTCTGACTTTGAGCTGTCAGCTGAACTGGACTGCACCATAAAAATCATTTTGCTGCTCTACTCCTGCGTGGCATGAGCAAATTTTACTGTGAAGTCTGATTTTGCATCTGGCAGTTGCAATGTTCCTTCACCCTCATATGTCACAGCCGCAGATTTTCATTTCAATTCCATCATACGAATTAGAAGTTGCTATGTTGGTGGGGCTGGGTACACAAATTAAACTGAGCATTCCACATTCACCAATTGCTTTCTTTACAGCATGTCAGTATTGACTCATTTAAATTAAAAAAAAAAAAAAAAAAAAGCCAGAAAAAAAACCATTCTAGCTCAGTGCATGGAGCTCAATCAAAATGGTTCATCTCCTGATTTCTGTTTCACTCATAAATCCTCTTTTATGTTTCTTGGAATTCTGATTAACTTACCAAGCTGTGAATTGTTGGTTGGCGTCTCATCTGTATAAAACAAAAACGGGATGCATTATATTTTACAAATACGTCTGCCTACCTCCTCCCCTCCTTGCAACACAAAAGCCAATAGTCCTAGCTTTATTTTCAAAACACATCAGCTGTACTTGCAACACTGACTAGTAGCTTTTAGCACCTCTGGTAGAATAAGGACAACAACATTAATTACATGACATTGCTTCATTTTTAATGTGAGCACACCAATATGAAGTTACTTAGTATTCTAGGGGGAAAAAAAAAAAGCCCCACACCTTAATGCAGGAAACTCTTAATTGAAAAGGTGGCCAGTTCTATTCTGTCCCTCAATAAAAATACAAGCATAAGCACAATATTATATGCAAGTCCCTTCACTGTTAAACATATCACAAGAAGATCTGTATAGGAAAAAAAAATTAACCTGAGTTTTTCAAGGAAAAAATACATCAGTGACCATAAATGATTGCAAAAATGCCCTTTCCCCATGCTCATTTTTCTCTTGACAGTTACACAGTGGCATTATATTCAGGGAAACATTTGTATTTTGTCTTCAGTTTTTACTCACTTACCATTGTCCATCTCAGAGCTACATTTCTTGTCACTACTTTTGCTTTTTTCTGCAACTTGTAAGCACAGCTCACGTATACATTTGTTTTGAGCAGCTGTCTTCTAAGTTTAAGTGAGACATCCATCAAAAGCTACACAATTTCACCTTCACAAGTAGGTACCTGCTTTGTTTCTATACACAGAGACTAAAATATTCTCTTCTCTGTACGTCTCCTGTAATGACTTATTTTAGATTAACAAACAAGAATAAAGTTTCTCTGAAAAGAACAAAATGTTAGAAATAAGAGTTCAGAAATATACAGGAGAAGAACCATTACTTGTTTGCAGTAGCACTATTCAGTTCTTATGAAGGGAACTGCATGAACAGCTTCTGTTACCAGAACAACTGGTGACTAGAGCCATGGGGAGCCCTGGCGAACTTGACATGCCTCTGCAGATGCTGATGCACAGAGGACCAGCCTCGGGGCAGATGCAGCGCAAGCCTAAATGAGGGAGGTGAGGCTTTGCACATCTGTGCCACTGCAGTCCTAATACTGGCATGTGTACTATAGTGCATACATATGTACTATGTACTGGCATCTGTACAGGTGCAGAAGGTTTGATGGGCTCTGTACAAATGTATCTGTACTAAAGCTGGACCAGAGTTGGTCTCGAAAATAGTATAAGCACTTCCATGCAGCATCACACCAGAGTGAGCCAGCACTGCGCCCTGGCATTCCTCATCCAAAACCATATAATTCTGTTCAAGTTCTCTCATGACCTTCCCCCTTTTCTTTCCTTGACTCTAGTATTCATGAACCTCACATTTTTAACGTGCTTGTTTTCACAATGGGAAGGGACAGGAAATACTAATTCCCTCTTTCTGCTCCAGAAGGAAAAGTGAAGTGCAAGTCAGATTAAGGGACTTGCTCAGTGTCACTAAGGAAATTCGTGGCAGAGTTCAGAACTGAATCCCATTTTTTTCCAGAGTACTTCCCATCAAACCATCCTTCTGTCAGGAGGAGTAGGATGCTCCAAAAGCATACTATGGAGATGCAGAAATATGTTTAATCTAAAAAGCTTTAGCCATATCTCTTAAGTAGAAGACACCTAAAAAAATATTTTATTTTTCTAGCTTTATTCATGTTTTCATGTAAAAAACCTCAACAGTTGTCAAGAAGTTATAAAATCATTTATCCTTTCTTTGGGGTCATTAAACACCTGTGGACAGACCTTTGTTTGCTTGAAGTTATGCAGTATTTAAAGGTAATTAATGAGTATTTTTTTTTACTTGTAAAAATACCATTCACAGCATTTGAATCATAAGCTGTATTACCTAAGAGGGGTTGCTCATATAACAAGCTTTATCTAGTTTCCATTCCTTGCCTAATGCAGCATTTCTCTAGCATACGTGTTTGTCTGAGCAAATCTGTCATTCATTTCCCGTAAGTACTCACATATGAAACTCTGAAGTTATTTCTTGTTGTTTTTTCTTGACTAATCAGATAGCAGCAACTCAATTGGGACTATGTATAATGCAGAAGAAAAAGACTCATTTTCATTGCAGAAATGTTTCTTATAACAGAGGGTATTTGTTCTAAAATTGTTCTCTTGCTAGATGGAGGGTCAGTTTTTCTCTTTGTATATGTGGGAACAACCACTTTGCACATAAAGAATGATATTGTTCTCAAGTGTTTCAATTATTTTTCCTAGCTAGCATTCAGTCCTGCTCTCAGCTTCCTAAATCTAAGACTGCTGAAATCAGTTGCTTAACTGCAACTACTTATAAATATTTGTAAACAGAATTTCTTAAACTTTTTCAAATATTATATTATTTTGTCAACAGCAGTCACAAATTCTTTTCAGAGACTGCAGGTTGCATTTAGAGCTGTCTTTTTTTTTTTTAAAAAAAACCAACACTTTGGCATGTGGAATTTCACCATGGATTTAAAGGAGCAGATTTTGGCCCACTCTGTTTAGAATTTACAATGTGTTTGTCCTATTTCTTCCTTTTAGCTGAAGGCTAAGCATAGCATGTATTAATTTTATGCCACACTTAGATAAAAAAGCCACAGGTGAAGCTGGAAGAAATGGTGAATAGAAAGCGACAGTGAATATTCATTAGCTGTCCAAATCCAATTGCAACACCGAACACAGTACCTTAAATTCCATTATCTTCAGTGAAATCTGACCAAAAAAAAAAAAGAATTCAACCCACTGAGTTTGGGCTTTTATAGTGGCCTTATATGCATAACAGTATCCCACAGTGATTTTACTGGTGTAGGGAGGAAGCATGTGAGAGCCAAACAGAAATATTAGCTCAAAATTTCTACCAAAGACTCCAACAGTATGGAGAAAAAATACCCAGCAAACTCAGGGAGAATCCACCCTTTCTCTAAGTCGTAAATTTATATTAAACAGCAAAACATTTCCCCCGGTTTCTGAAATTCCTGCAGTCCACAGAAGAAGTTTGCTCATTCCTACCACTCCTTGTAATGATGGGGCCAGCAGAGATTACAGCATTGCCAGAGGTGCTCTGAGGGCTCCAAGTTGTCCTCCCACCAGTGTCTCTTCTTTCTCTGTTACTGCAAATCTGAGAAGTTAATCAAAACAATCACAGTTTCAGAGTGGAATGGAATTATTGCCCTTCTGTGCTTCCTGCTTTAATGTAAACTCTTTTATAAGCAATACTACAACTTTGATTTTATTTCTTAGTATGCATTAAATTACTTTGCAATAAAAACAGCTGCAATATTCCCTAGAAGTGTATCTTATAAATGCCTGGCTTCCCATTGTATTTTGCCTCACTTTGTTTACAGAACTACATTGCTGTTGTGTAGAAGATGCATCTTATAGTATATTAAATTTTCAGTAGTTAATTTCCCAAAGCTTTGTTTACAGACAGTTTTCCCCAGCAAATGTGTTTTGCTTGACTAGGGATAGGCAACATGCTACAATCCCTATTCTAGCAAGCTTCTCGAGTTAAAAGTTCGCACATTTTCCATGGCGTTCTAAACAGCAATGACCCACAGTAAAGCAATCCCCAGCACTCTGTCATCTGGAATCCACCTTTAACATCTCTAACTTATCATCTACTTTAATCTTGGGTACTCAAGTATGCTTCAACCAAGACCATTTCTTTAATTTCAACTTCTTGTGAAATAACTTCAAAAACCTCAGAACATAAATTCAATAGAAATAATGAATTATTTAAAAGTATAACATAAAAGTATAAAATAATGTACAAAGTGTCAGAAGTATACTGAACTGATATAATTTAAAAATTCTAAACGGAAAGTCACTCAATAGGAAATGATGCTGCATTCTGAAGACATCACAGAAAGAATATTCTTGTTTATATGTTTTTTTCAATTTCCAAAATATATTTGTTGCTCCTGACAGTCCTAAAATTAAATAATTTTTTTAGTTGACACAACTTTATGAATTTCAACAAAGCAGCAGTTTCCAAACTGTAAAAGAGGTGGTAATAAACTATAGAGGATGTAGTAGGTTTTTTTTTTTTCCCCACTATCAGCAACTCTTTCAAATTTTCCTTGTCAGTATTACAGCACTTACTATAGCTTTAAGTTTTCCATAAATTCTGTTCCAAGATATTTCTATTTATCCACTGTGACTGTGGATACCTTGTTTCTTAGATGCTATACTAAGAATATCAGCTCTGAAGCTGTCTCAGAGTTGTTAATTTTAGAAATTAATTAAGGACCAAAAGGTGAGGAGGAGATTTCTCATGTGTTTGACAACCTGTGTTTTGCAGGTCTAATATTATTCTATCTCTGGATGACAATATTCATTACCTTATTCTTAATCAGTTGTTTTACATTCCTTCAGACACAAAAAACATTCTTACTTCAGCCTCTAGAATAATCATCTTCATTCTGTGCCATCCAAACTTCCATAGCATTTGTATGCAGAATAACTCCAGTGTGCCTATTTTATATCCAGATAATTAATAGCAGCTTCCATCTACTGCAACTTACTGGCACAAGAAAGGGACAGTCATCTGCTCTGCACAGCTTTGTCACGCAGTGAAGGAAGACCGTAGACATCTTCTGGTTCTTGTGCTTCACAAAGCGAAACACCTCAAAGGAAAAGCGGCCCATTTGGCTCTTGCCATTTTCAATTATAGTTGTCTGCGGGTCCTTGTCACAGCTAGTTTTTGTAAAGAAGATTAAAATTAGGATAAGCAGCTGTATTAGCATTTTGAAGCTCTTAGCTGAGAATAAGATAACTTAAGCAGCAAGTCCAGTGCTTTAACTCTTTGGAGAAGAACACAGTGCCCTAATGTGCTACAAGGGCAGTCACAATCTGCGTGTTAGGCTGCACAGTCCTGTGATGAAATGCATTCCTACAAAAACATTATGTTTTGTTTTGCAACATCACAGCTGTAACCAAGGTACCATTTAATTCCAGTGCCCAAAGAAACTTGAGACCTGAAGCAAAAAGTAATCAGGTATGCTAACCGGTATAGACAGGTAACTCCAGATGAAGACAGTATCTCTCCAGCAACTGTCACTGATAAGATTTGATCTTAGATACTACCAAGATGTTTTTCAAAGTTCCAATTCAAATAAATGTTATTACTGGGAGCAGAAGCAGGAGCATCTATTTATCTTTAATCATTTGCTTAACTGCTTCCCTGAACTGGAGTCTATGATGTTTTATATCACTGTCATTCACCACAAGGGTACCTTTGGTAAAATAAAGGCCAGTTTAGCCATTCAGTTTGAGTGTTTATGGTATCTCTAGTACAGCCATTTTGGATATATGCTTCTATACCTTCATAATTCTTACGACTTTGCACTTGCTTCCATGTTTATGTTCACAAACAAGATAAGTCCTGACATGTTATCTGTAAGCCTAGCCCTCGGTCCTCCCTGCTAATATGGCTTAGACTTTCCAGGCAGTTCAGAACACCACTACTGGAGAGATTTATAACTCTTTCAAAGGAAGGACCCACAAAACACTGGGTTTGCACAGGACCTACCTGAAAAAAAGATCATATCGAAGATCATCGCTAGGATTACCAGATGGCGTGGTGTAGCAGTAGTCCATCAAAACATTCCACCTGCACAGGGAGCAAAGTGATAGATGAGGAGAACTGGCAATGTAAAAGTAGGGGTGGAGAGCGAGACAAGATTAAAAGACAGTACAGGCAAGCGTACAAACTGATAATGCAGGCTGCTATATTGAAGCTGAGTTACTGTATTTAACAGGTCACATACAAGTCATCCTGCATTCCCAATATATCACCTGTTTCCTCCCACTACTTACAAAACTAAACAGTATAGCATAGCAGCAGAATTGTATAAATCAAATAATTTGGTTTCATGCAAGTTAACCACCATACCAACACACGTTGTATACCTCCTCTCAGAAGTCATGGCCACATACGACTAGAAATCAAAATCATCCCACTTTTAAAAGCCCCAGAGTTTCTCACTTGATCTTACAGAGGCCCTTTCTTAAATAACAGCAATATAGGATTTAAAGTATAATTCAGTAAAACTTTCATAATGAGGACAGCAGCAAGATACACATTCACCATCAAGGACCTGATACACTCCAGCTGAGGGCAGTGATTATCAAACACTAACCATTATTTCGACATACAAAGGGCTATGAGGAAAGGCAGTTGCTGCTAAATCAGAAAAATTTGCAACACCAAGAGCTGAATAGCAAGCAAGACAAGAAATAACATCCTTTATGGTACCTGCCATCAAGGTTGGTTGCTCTTACAGCTGCATATATTTTGGTTTTCAAAGGTAAACCTGTACTTGGAATAAGGAGCTGCTGGCTGTAGGTTGAATCCTGAAAAACAAACATTGCCTCAGTGTACCAGAAATCCCACTGTAACAACTCATCTGCATCCACAGACTGAACTCCTATCTAATTTTTCTGACCTTTCTATGTAGGACAGTTATTTACTTTGTCCTCCATAAGGGAAGCAAAATGCAGTGCCAGAGCATTTGCCTACAAGTTTGTTAAGATCAACAACACTTGACTTGCCTTATCCTATACAACTATTTTGTGGAATCTATTTATGATTTTATAAAGTGGTTGGACCGGTGATTAAAGAAAAGGTATCATTCACTGACACCTCAGGAAGTCTCCGAGCACCTACAGACAAATGTAGCAGCTACTGTGGTTTTTTGAAGGAGCTTAACTGAGTTGTCACAGAGTACCCTTTCCCAGCAAAGGTTATTGAGGTTATTTGATTTAGTGGAGATAGCAATGCCACCAGGTTTTATATATCTTAAGCTGTAGTCTGGAAAAACAGACATATTCTATTACGAAAAGTGTAGTTTCAATGGAAGTTGGCTTGGCTTGTTGAAGCCAACAAGTAACAAACGTTTTCATTTAAATGCTAATATTTGAAAAAAGCTGTTTCAAAAAAGCTGTATATAACATAAAAGTTGGGAATTCCCCATATACTACTACATAGATATAGCTGGTTTATTGGTTTCTTGTTCAAAGACTGAACCATTGTCCTGGTTTCAGCTGGAATAAAGTTATTTTTCTTCCTAGTAGCTAGCATAGTGCTGCGTTTTGGATTTAGGAGAATAATGCTGATAACACACTGATGTTTTAGTTGTTGCTAAGCAGTGTTTATATTAAGTCAAGGACTCTTTCAGCTTCTCATACTGCCCTGCCAGCAGAGGCTGGGGGTGCACAAGAAGCTGGGAGGGGACACAGCAAGGACAGATGACTGAAACGGGTATTCCAATACCATATGATGTCATGCCCAGTATATAAACTGGGGGGAGTTGGCCAGGGGGCACCACGGCTCTAGGATTGGCTGGGCATCAGTCAGCAGGTGGTGAGCAATTGTATTGTGCGTCACTTGTTTTGTATATTCTATTGTTATTACTTTCCCTTCCTTTTCTGTCCTACTAAACTGTCTTTATCACAACCCACAAGTTTTACTATTTTTCCCCCTCCCGATTCTCTCACCCATCCCACTGGGCGGGGGGCAGGATATGAGCAAGCAGCTGTGTGGTGCTTAGTTGCCAGCTGGGGTTAAACCACGACAACCATTAATGTCACTTTAGCAACAAAGCCATGAAACAGATCTCAGTGACAGACATTAATTCAGCATATCAAAATGCACTTACTGGTAACATCACCTATGTTAAATAGTTTGCTAATCCGGAAAGCACAGGGACTCAGCATGGTGAGACCTCTTGTGAGAGGTTGAAACACTCAATACACAAGAAAAAATCTTGTAAAACAGAATTTTGACCAGGTTCAGCGTGGCAGGCAAGACCAAGAGCAGCAGCTGACAGCAACAAGAAGGATTAAGCACAGAGAATCAAGGTTTGTTTTTTTTCAAAGGGAACAATGCCAAAATTCACAGCACGCCCAATATTCAATCTCTGCAGCATCAGAGGCCTTGGGAGGTACACATGCACACACAGACAAGCTGTGCGACATACACAGAGCAAGTCCTTGAAGACCCATTCAAGTGAGATCAGGTAAGTTTGCCTTCTTTACAATGAATTTTACATTTCTCTAACATGTAGCGCTCTCACATTTTGCAACTGATTAAAAAGTCTACAGCAAGTCCTTCACTATTACATTCCATAGTTGTTCTTTTTTTCTTAAAGAGTAGTTTTTATTCATTTACACAAACATTTACAGGAAGGCCTAAAAACACATAGCCGCTTAGGCTCTGTGAAAGCCCATTAAACATTTTGCTATTAAACTCCAAATCTATCGTAATGGCTCCTCTTGTCTTTCCCGATGATAACACATGCTAACGCCACAAAGTAAATGTAAACAGCACCTTGTAAGGGAAGATGGAGGTGAGTCTAGAAGATGAAGAGTCAATGTTAGGAAATAACACTATAGCTAAAGTTTGAAAGTATGGCTGCTCGCAGTCAAGAGCCACATCTGTACACAACCCCTCACCAATACCAAGGGTGGACAGAAGCCTCAAAGCCCCCCAAAACCAGGACTCTCTAACAAGGACCAAGTAAGCCCACAGAATCAGAGCTCACAAGACCATGGGTGTCCCAAGAGGTGCTCCCAGCCAGGCGATGCACAAGCTGTATATACAGCCAGCCCCATGCTGTGAGCCAGAAGGGCATATCCATCACTTGAATCCGCCAGCCTTAGTAGTGTTACTCATGCTAGTGCTACATCCTAGAGTAATATGACTGAAATCAGAAGAGTAAGACACCACTGTTCATGGTCAACTTGTAAACTCACTGGGATAGGGAGGATGAAAGCCCATCTTGGCATGTAGTATTTGAGGAAAAGAGGTGCTCAGTATGAGCTTCAATAGCATTTATACCTGACTGTTTGCAGAATTGGGCCCTGAAAGCTGGCAAACACATCATGGTCAATGCTTGTCCTGACTGAGGAAACTTGGCTACCCTCAACCTCTCCCCATCTTTTTGGTCACAGGTTTATTTAAAAATGAGAGAAGTATAATCTTCATTTTAACAGATTATAGGTTGTTATTTGGAGCTCTCCTCTGTCAAATAAACATGATTTTTTTTTAAGCATGCTGTTGGAAAATGTCCTGTTACAATATTTATAGCTCATTATGTTCAAAGCATAAAGCATTGACTTTTAAATCAGTTGCATGAATTATAACTCAGCATCACGATGGCATGAATAATAATGCAAAAAATTGGATTCATAATTTACAAAAACGATGCTTGATAGATTGAAAAATTGATATTTAAATCAGGTATTTAAAATGTATGAATAAAAATTTTAATCAACACGAAAATATCATTTCAGGGATTAATTTTAAGTAGAGGTCTGTGCATTTTTCATGTTTTACTGTCACCATCCATATTTACGTAGTAAAAGCTTTTACAACAATGCATATTCAAGTTAAATTATCTAAAACATACGGAAGAAGTTTAGTTGAAAGCTGTTAAAATTATTAACCCTTAAAATCTTGCAAGTCCACACAATGAGGCAACAAGTGCAGTGGGCTATAGATTTGGAATAAATCCCACATCCCTCACTACAACTACAGATGATCAAAACACTCTGATGAGGCTTGAACATAAAAATACCCTAGCAAAAGTGCTACAGTTTATTACTAAGGGAACAAGACTGGAAAATTTTTACAGAATTCTACAGATTACTCTCTGTATCAGTACAATGTACCTATACGCATACACACACACACACATATATAGTAATATGTACATACACATAAACATAATAAATGCAAACACAAGAGCAAACATGCACTCTGGAGTATGATTGTTATTACTACAACGGATTAGTCACATAACACTACAACCTGAAAGCCAGAGCTGTAAACTGAGGAACTATATAAATACAGGATGAAAAGACCGTGTGTGTCCTCAAAGACCAGCCATATAAATACACCAGGTACATGCAAACAAAAAGGACAAGGGAACTCAGAGATGAAAGATGCCTGGATGAAAGGTCTAGTTCATGGGAGGAGTGGAAAGGGAAAAGCAAATAATGAAGAGGAGTCTATACTTTGGCTCTGCTAATCCAGCTTGTACCTACATAGTGCTGAGATTAATTTAGTCCAGGTCATACTACTGTGTTTTATACTCACATTGTAAAGCAACAAATTCAAAGTGCTGATAAATGTACCATTGTTTTCTCTTACAGAAATAGCAGCTGATGACCTACAACAGAACCAGAAACCAAAACCATCACGAAGAAAGATATTTCAATTTTGTGTTTATATACTTCAGTGTTTTTTATCATTAGAAAAACTCAGTGAGTCATATCACAAGGAGTTAATTCATGCATTTGGGTTATAAACTTCAGAAATAGGAATTTATAGTGGAAACACTGACAGAACCTTAACTATGCAGAAAGTAATGGATACCGTTGAAAAAACAAATCAGAAAAATAATTAGCAGAGAGGCAAAGTGACAAAAGGAACCCAGTTTTCATGATGTACAAGGTTTACTCATGGAAATATTTTCTCTTGCACTCTATATTCACATGCTTACAAACTATTTCATGAAGAATTTCAATTTTTTTGCTGCTACCATTTTGTCATCAGAACACCTGAATTTTAAGGGAAGTTTTTTACATTATCTAAGGCTCTCTTCATAAAGACAGCTCTTCATAAACTACATTATCTCATACAGTGATGCTACAGAATTTTCTTTTCATTTGCATCTTTCAGTGCTTTTTCCTTTTCCTTTACCCTTGCACAATTAAATATTGCTATGTTAACAATACTGCTATGGCATGCATATATTTAGCTGTACATGCATATATACACATATATATGGCCTTACACAAACATGGGAACAAAACACATAGAAATGAAAGGCACACTTACGAAGCAAGCTGGGTATTGTTAACCAAGTACTCCAGTGGATAGCTACAGCTAAATTTGTACAGAAGCCCAGGCAAATAGCTGATAATCGTTGGTGGGTCTGGCGTATCAATATAGCCTGAAACATTACCTATTTGTACCACTGAGGTATTTCCATAAGCACTGATACCTCGAGCTGAGGATACCTATTGAGGGAGATAGAAAATTACTCTTATCAGAAAGTTAACTGTGGAACAAAAAATACCTAAGGACACTGATGCTTTAGTCCATAATTTACCCAGAGATATCTTCAGAAAATCCTTCAAAAATTAATTTAGTTTAATAACATGTTCCCTGTGTTCTGTTTTTTACCTCCCCGAAATCATGCATATACAGTTCACAAGAAATATCCCTGTTCTTAAAACACAGACTTGAGCAACATTTGAAAAAAACTGATGAATCCTGGAAGCATATTTTTTTGGTAGGTACTTTTTTCCCCAAGCATTCCCAATGAATTCATGTGACTTACTGGGAAAAGCTGAAGGAACTTTATTACGGTTAAAAAATGTGAACTTAAAATGAGCTTCCATATTCAATAATAAAGCCAATACACAAGGAATTTCATTCACAAAAACAACACTGTCACTCTTGAGCTTTGTTTTTGACACATCAGAACCAATGTACTTTATAAGCAGATACAAGCCAAATAGCTGAACTTTGAGTATGTGTTTCTGTTTACATTATACATCTCTAAATCTAAATTATAAACTACGTGCAAAGAAAAACTGTCAGAAAAGCAAGAGCTGAAAATTAATACAACCTTAATGCCAATGCAACCTTAACTCAGTCCCTGGACACGTGTTATCCTGTGTTGCTCAGGCTCACAGAGTGTGCAGAGCCAGCAATAACATGCAGCTCTCCAGAAAACTGAAGGACACTCTTTCCTCCTGGTAGCAGCCCAGCCCCACTCCATCTGTAGCTACTGATCTGAATAAGGGGGTGGTTTGAAAACAGCAGATGAGTGTCGCAAATTACTGTCTCAGCAGGCACATACACAATAAGGCAAATTAACATGGCACTGGACTTCCACCATAGCATTTCTTTTGCATAACTGTATTAGCAAACAGATGCTTTCAAAAGCTTTAGAATACACAGCTTCTTAAAAAGACATTTCATTATGGAAGAATCATCCTGAGGTGCACGAGTTGTAACATTTGGCAGTAAGTAGCACAGGATACACAGTAGGTATTTTGATTTCTTTGGCTACAGAAAAAACGGCTAGAAGACAGATGCAGCCATGCACTTTGTCAATAGTATACCTAATCATTTGCTAAATGGCAGGAAAATTATGAAAGTCAAATTTTCTAGGATCTATTCCTTGCCGATAAAACATAGGTTAGAGCACTAAGGTAGTATAGCCAACTACAGCTCCATTTAGCTTCCTCACCACCGCACACCCAAAAAATAAAAAGTCGTGTCTGCCATATTACAGACAGACCTGGCTTTTACCTCAGTTCTGCCTGAACTGTTGTCTTTCCTTTACTTTTATTGAAAATGAGTTTTAAGGTCTTTCCTATGAAACACAGCCAAGAAATGCATGGGATTGTACTATCCAGTGTGGGGAACATGATAAGAAATTCTCCCCGTTCCTTTATCCTCTTTGTTTGTGGCACAGCATGTGTAAACTGGGAGAGGATGAGGGGAATTTTTGGTTATATTTTTAGCAGCTGCTACTCTGTCTTTGTACCCTGTGCAGCCTTGTGGGGGGCTTCATAGGGACCTCCAATTATTTGGACTTACCAGACTGTTGTGGGGTTTCTTTGTTTTTTTTAAACATGAAGCTCATACAATTATAATCAAACAGCAAGTTCAGGGAGCTTACAATGTGCCCGACTCCACGGGAACAGGAAGAAGTTGCTTTCTGGCAAATTCTTCTACTGCAAGTCATAGGAGTGCTACAGCTTTTCAGGGAAAATGAGAAAAGAGGATCTTGAACTTGCCGAACTGGGTTTTTGTTGAAATTTTAAAAGAAACCTCAGCCTGAGGTAAATACGTCACAGAGCATATCGAGCATTTCAGCCCAGTTTTGCAAAATTATTAGCAACAAAACAGGGGGGTTGTTATAAAAACTGACAGGTATCATCAAGTGCAAGTATGAATTCCAGATAGAATATAAGCCTTAAAAATAACACATTTTTACACTTCCTTTTGTAAGTTATTCATAGATACTTTGATAGAAGTCATCACTGCTTGTACAGTGTGATATACCCACAAACTGTACAACTCTCCTCTCCGTTGACTTAGAGGGTTTGAGACATGACTTCCCCCTCTCTCCCCATTCAGAGAGTGCTCCACTGAAGAAAATGAAATTATATTGATACAAAACAGACTTCAAAGTCAGCTCCTGGATCAGATTCTGGTTCCAAAAACTCACCCACAGCTAAGGATTAGATTTAGTCATTAGCTGTACAAAGATGTGCATTATCCATGCATGAAACAGCAACATAAAATGAAGACACTGAAGTCACACCACCAGGCAAAATGGCAAAACACCATAGCACAGACTGGCCACGCACTGAGATCAGAGCTGAACATACGAATCCGAACTTCAGTCCCACATCTTGACTTTTTTGTTATGAATTAAGTGCAAAGGTTAGACAGCCTTTTTTTTTTTTTCTTTTGGGGGGGGGGGGTAAAACATTCAAAATTTGCTTGAAAACTTCAGTTTGTTGCCAGACAGTTCCATACTGAGCTGAGATCTTATAAGAAGGTGCAACACCTCATAGCACAGCTAGCAGGTGTGTTTACTGTGGGTTGGGCCCTCTGGCCAGACCATCCCCCCTGTGACATTCAGCCTGAAGTCACTGCCTTATCACAGAACATAAAAGATCATTCAGCAAGCCCCTCTCATATGAGAGCACAGAAGTACATACCCAGACTATAACTCTCCTCTATCTAACCCACTCTTAAAAATATTTTATTTTCATTTTTCAAGTGGGTATTTGAGAAGGTTCAGCAAGAGTTTTAAAAACAGCTTGAAAAAATCTCATTTTTCTACCGGAAAAAAAATATACTTTCTAATCAGAGGACAAATGTGTGTCCCACCACATTTTCTCATTAGTAATCAGGATTATAAATTACCGACTTTCTCTAGTTTTCTTTGATGTATGCAATATATTGCTAACTGGGCAAGAAAAAGTAAACATTATCTGTAAAAGATACAATGCTATTAAGGCCATTCGCTTGATCCTATGCATAAACAGCCATGCTACAATTTCACTTTGACTTTGTCTTACCACTAAAGTGTTTCCACAGGATTCCAAAGTACTCAGATTGATGATGAAAATGACCACTGCTGGAAAAGTGTTGTTATTGATGAAACCCCTGCAGTGGGCATCCCCATGTTTCCCATTCAGTGCCAGATCTGTCTCAGAATAACCAGAAAAAAGAACTGTGCAAAAATTTATCTTCATAGTAATTGTCTGTACTCCACAGAAAACATTGATATCTCGTTCAGCTGCAAGAAAATACAGGGAAAGACATTGTAAGAAGATGTATTTCAACTAATCACCGTGTAATTATTGTAGCAGTTAGTCTAGTGTTGTAACTTCTGATTGAATCAATTTTTAGACCTCAGACACAGCAAAATATTGGAGTAAAAAGGTCAGAATTGCATTATTCTGAAGAACAGATTTGACTCTACAACTTCACTAAAGAAAAAATGAGAGTTAATATAGTAAGAGTCTACCATGCAACAAAACCATTACTTTAAAATTCCCCAGCAAATCATTTAGTAGCACATTCATAACCAAAGCACTGCAACAGAGTGGAAAAAAGCAAGTGGTTAAATATTTGGAGTCTGATTAAACAGCCCCCTTCTGGAACAGAAATTTCCAGCGATTTTGAGAAACTCAGGAAGCCAAGCTCTGCCTTCCAGCCCACTCCGGCATGGAAGTCAGGTGCATTTGTCTGAGGTTGTCTGGAGTCTACTTTGTATGAGTCCACAGTCTCAGGCTATGCAGACTTTGAAGTACAATCAACAGCATATCAGAGCAATTTATTATGATATCTTTAAAGTTGGGAGTTTTTTTAAGAACCATCAACTTTAGCTTTAATGAAAAATCAGTTGGCTCTTGAAAGACAATGATCGATACTACAAAGCGTCTTGCAATCTTTCATTCTGCACATTATGACAATATGAAAGACCTAGAAAACAGCAATTGTTACAACTGATCAATTTTTGAACAGCAGCAAAAAAACCCTCTTGGATGACTTTGACCTTTTATTTGAAAGTTCTGAAGATTTTTATGTACTTCAATGGAAAAGCATCAGGTTAGGATATAGGCACAAGCAACAGGTTGTTTTGCTTCAGAGCTATAACATAGCTTTTCTATAAGCTCTTCTGTGTCTGTAGGTGATTGGGGGGGCTATTTTGGTTTTTTCCCCTAGTGCTTTACAAAAAGACATACTGCACCATGTTAAACACAGACATTACTCCTTTACATAACAACTCATTTATTACATCTGCTTAAAGATTAAGTGCTATTAAAAATTGCAGAACAACTTCAGTCAATACTATACCATTAAGCCTGCTGAAATGAATTGTTTCACTGCATTGTCACAACAGAGAGGAAATGAAATCTCCATTACAATGAACTAGCTCTTCCCCCATGGTACAGGAGCACAAGCAGTTTAATTTAGACAGCTTTAATGGTGGCTTTAAAGCCAAAACAATCAAGTGCAGGAAATAACAGGCTAAACTCAGTCCTGAGATAATGTGGTGATAAATGTTACCTACTGGGTGTAAATTTGGGCAGAAAGGTACGGGAGGCAAGACATGAGTTGAAGTGATTTGGCATGAAATTCTCCTGGTTAGTACATATACATAATTGCACTAATATAATGTACAAAGATCAAGAAGAAGCATGTCTTGGTTTTCACTACATGAGGACTGTTATGATCCATTTAATGGGTATACTAAGGGAGAACAGTACAAAAAGGCAAATGGCAAAGTGCACCTTTACACTTGGACCAATGCACAAACAGTCAGATTGTAACAAATTGCAGGATGTAATATAAAGTAGCTCAGTTAATTTTACAACTCACTTCAAGCCTTTTAAAAAGCAGGATATTACTTTACCTGTTAAGGTATCATTACTGCCTACAAAATTCTCATTTGACACTAACGGAAATGAGACCATACAGTACAAAAACAACCTTTGTGCTATACAGGAGGATAAACAACCTTTCCAGACTGAACCTTTTCTGCCCACTATTTTACAAGGAAGTATTGTTGCCAAATTAGTCCATTCTGGAATTAGAACAACATTATTTGTTTAGAAATTAATCTGAAACTAGGTGCAAATAGATCTTTAGATGCTAAACATCTAGCTCATTTCTTGTGAATTTAGAAAGGTAAATATTATTCCTATAAATGTATAAGTTTAAACAAAAAATATTTGCACTCCTGCAGTAAAAGCTTCTGGTTTTCCGAGTAAGAGAGGAGAGATGGTTTGAAGGTTAGGTGACCCAGCTGATGGGGCCTTAAATGTAATGACCTCTTTGTCACTGAGTTTCCATACAGGCAAACCACTTGGCTTTTCTGACTCAAATCACACAAGCTACCTATAGTCAACAGTACTCACAGCAGTGTCACATGCAAAACAGAGTAAATCTTAAGAGGTAGATAGATACTACAGTAACAGAGACCATCTTGAATCAAGGACAGGCTCATGGCAACATGAGACAAATGCTGATAGCTCCGCTGCCCGCTTCTGCTATGGTACCCTTCCACACGTTGCCAAGACTCACCCCAGAGCAGGCAGCGAAAAACCTGCAGAGGATAAGAGTTTGCCACAGAACACCATTGACAAAAGTCATTCCACCAGAAGAGGTGTGCAAAGACAGAGTGCAAAACCAGCTTCTCTGCACAAACCTCCTCTTTGATCAAATCGATGCTTTGCTAGTGAATTAAAATGCATAGCATATGTGAAAAAGCTGCAATATTTTCTTAGCTTCTACTATGTTCTCAGTATGTACTTACAGCAAGAGCCCCCTGAATCAAAACTCTGCATTTCCCACCTGAAGACAGCCGGGCTGCTATGGCTCCATCCCCCAAAAGCCTTCTAAAAGCTATGCTTTACTGCAATGCAGAACTAAAGCTTTTTTCTCCAGATAACTCTCTGAAGGATGACAGGATCTAACCTTATTACATACCCTCTAGAACACGTCTAGCTTTTGGTATAAAAAGTCACAGAATTTTCAATGCACTAAATACGGGTTTTTTTCTTCATCCCTGCCGGCTAGTGAGTACTTGCACTCTAAAATAAACCTGCAAACTGCAGAAACAAAAGTCTTGCCTGATTATTTATCATCCTATTTATGCAGCACCATCCCTATGCAAGAAGTCACCTAAGCAATGAATGATAAAAGCACAAACAAATGAAAAATGGATGAACTCCAAGGTTCCTTTAGGAAGGCTTAATTTCTCATCTTTGCTGAAAGACAACTTCTGTTCTTCACAACATTTAAAGAAAAAGAGCAGACAACTTCAAAACCCAATGGCTTCTCTGGTACCTGCACACCACAGACCTCCGCAAGAAAGTCCATTCTCACCCCGTGTTTGGAATTTCAGCTGACAACAACAAAGATTTCTTGGGCGGAACAAATAAGGAATAGGAAGAAAGTGTATCCGTAACCAGGCTCTGTGAACAGTATCTCAGCCTGGAGAGATACTTGTTTTGAAACATTCTCCTTTTTGACCTCCCTCTCTCCACTCCCCTTACATTTGAACTCTGAAGACGGTGAGGCCAGCACCCTCAAAGCTACAGCCCGAGCCAAGTGCTGGGGAAGCAAGCGTAGCAAGAGTGAGCCCCTTCTCCCTGCAGAGATGCTTTCACCCGTCTTCTGGGATTCTCGAGCCCAGAAAACCGAGCTCCAGCAGCTTCACTCAGCTCCACTAGCCACAGCCCATTACATAGCAGTCCCTTCTGCATACTGAAAATAATACCTGTCAAATTTAGGGACAAAAGGTTTTTCTGGTTTTTACCTCCATCTCAAATGCACGACTAAGAAGCAGAATTATTTTTCTTTCCTATCTCTCAAAATCAGCACTAAGACTGTTGATTAAATTCCAGCCTTTGAATCTTTACTGCCTGAGATCACAAACAAGGAAGAGCAGGACTCTACTCTCAGCAGGGCAGTGTGGCGTGATTAGCATTTACTTAAAAAAAAATGTTTACTTGTAACCTAAACAGATTTTCTCCCAAGTCCCTGAGATTTGGCAGACATGGAATCTGATATGACCCTTTTTTATGAGGCAGAACTGCAAGAGGCCCCTAAATACCCACAATAAGAACTGGATTCAATTCATGGGTATCACATTGCAAATATAAAACCTTGGCACAGCGCTGGTGCAAAAAATGACCAGAGAAAAATTTTAAAAGCACAGAAAGAGGAATCTAAACTTCCCTCTAGCTGTTGCAATCCTCTCAAGAAGCCTGAAACAGAAAAACAATTACATGAAAAACCACAAGAGGTAGATCTGAGGCAGGTGGGCACAATTCACTCACACTTCTGAGGCCAGCCTGTAAAACTTTACCTAAGAAGGGGAATATAGAAGTAGTTTGTGAAATACTCAGTTAAAAGTGATTTTGTGAGGGACGGAAACAACATATTTGATCTTCTTTGCATGTCTTACTTCTCTGCTCTTCATATTCACATCGATTAAGTGAAAAAGGATCAAACCACTGTTGGTCTTTAAGTCAACAAAGCACCTAGCAGTGTGGTGGTAACACAGGAAACAATAAACAGACTGTAAGCTTTCTGCCGACTTAAGTTTAATAAAAGAGCTGATCCTTCCTGAAAAAAAATCAAAACTAGTACTATTACTCAGAAAGCAACAACACTGAAAGGTATTACAGTGTAATACTATACCGAGAGTTCATCGCTACACTGTTCAATTCAATTGCTACTTCAGAAACACAAGATGTGAGCGAGACAGTATTCACAGCCTTTTTTATTACTATTATTGTGTCCAAGAAACAACTGAGGCAGTAAGGATAAGCAATGTAACAAACTAAAAGCATTCTTTAGCTGAGTAAGCCCTGATACACATGTCACTAAGACTGAAATTTCATTTCTATTTCTCGTTGTATTAACAGCTCCAGACATTTGATGTCCCCAAAACAACTTAATTCCCATTTTCTCACAGAGGCATGAGTGTACATCATACATAGATGCACCCCATTGCTTCACCTGCCCCTAGCCAAGTACTTTATGTTGAAGTGAGGCACCAAGTTTTGCCATCAACTTCATTTTTGCTCAAAAATAGATATATATTTCTTTATTTCATAAAAAGGACATAATTATATTCTCTTACCCAGATAAAACATGAAAGAAAACTCGTAAGTTTCAGACTCTTAAATCTATAGAGAACATTCACAGCAACATGATCTCTGGTGAATTTCTTGGACAGGATAGAGCTCTGGAAAAAGCAGGTCAAACCCCACTGATGTGAGGGGAGTTGTATTCGTTACTCCTAGGCTGAATTTGACCCATTGTGCAATTAAGAAGAAAGTAAAGTGCAACACTAGAGGAGTTTCATTGTCACTGAGATAGTTAACACTCACTTAATGTGGAGTCCTACCCCCAGGCTTCAGACAGATTTAAAGCTCTGTATTTAAAAATAAGCACCGCTTTGAACCAAGACAATAAAGAAGCCATTAGAAAAAAGTCTATTAAACACTTACCAGGAAACCTGCTATGGAGGTTAGCATCACAGTTGTATCCATTGAACTGAGCCGTCACTGAAAGCACTTTAATCGTCAGCAGGAGCAGTAACCATACCTGTTCCATTGCAAAACCTAGCAAAACATTAGGTGGTTATTACACACATCTGTTCATTGCGTTAAAGATGCTTACTGCAGTCATTTAACCACTCAGGAGGTTATGGTCTCCAGCAAACGAATTGGGGATAAAGCTCACAAGCTTATGGGAAAGAGGCCACAGGCAGCAGGGCCCATTTCTCTACTTCTGAGTATAATGTGCAATTTCTATTAACTTCTACAGCTTTTAATCATAACTTGTGGCAAAAAAGGTACTCCAGAATGATATCAAAATAAAAAAATCCCTAAAATATATTGACAGATTAGCATTGCTTAAATATTTAAACTCCAACAGCTTTTTTGACATTTCAGTGTAAAAATTTTTTCAGAAAGACATCTTAGAACAATAGTTTTATTTTAGCCAAGTCCTTGAAAACCATACAGATAAATGCCTTGCTGAGCAGTTCTCAGGCTCAAGGTACTAGAATAAAAATCAGTTTGTATCTATTTGCCAAAAATCTGTTCTTTGAAGCATGCATGCAATTGCATTAAGCTTATGTACAGAGTTGGCACAGACACTTGCATCTACTTGAATTGTATCTGGCAACCAGACCAGGAGATAAGAACACATGAATTTCTAGTGTCTTGAGTAATTTTTCCTTTGGGGAGGAAAATTCCAAGGTGTAATACCTGTGGCATTTAGCACAACCAAAAATATATCCGATTCATGCTTTTGTCAAAAATATCCCAAAATATTGAGATTTTTGTCCATGAATCCAAGTGTTACTGATTTTTTTTTTTTAAATAAGATTTTGTAATTCTAGAAAATATCTCTGCCAATATGGACCTCAAACATGGCAATGCTCTCCATTTGCCTAGACAGGAACTAAGCAATTCTAAGATTTAGGAGGTTTGCTTTCTCTAAGACTATGGATAGCAAAGATACTGATCATCACCTTTCTCCAAGTGGACATCAAAGAACATTTGTAAACTCCATAGATGCAGCACACCTAAATGCAGACATATCTGGCATGGCAAGTGGCTGTCCTGCATTGCTGAGAAGAGCAGACAACAGCACACAGAGAGAACATTTGAGACAAACCCTCACTCTTAAATGGATCTTTCGTGGCTACACAGCAGTCTGAGCTAAAGTCTGCTCAAATTAATAGAAAGGCTTCCACTAGTTTTCAAATCAGGCTCACAGAGTACACAAACCTGGGATTTAAAGCCTTGTGTTGACAGACCCATAGATGACACTCCCAAGTGCTCTTTCTTGGCACACCAACCAACTACAACAAAAGACGGAGACAAACTCTACTAAAGAGTCAGTCCAGCCATTCACTCACGTGTAATTCTGCTTGGAAATACATGGAAAAAAACGGAGAATTGGAAATGCTAACTTCCTGCTAAGCATGCGCATTTTGGAAGTCAGGTATAACTTTTGCTCTCATACCCAAAAGCAGTTTTGCTAGCAAGTTCTGCACAACTTCCTCAAAGCACGACCTATAGCAACAATGCAACCTCCTTTTAGTTTCAGGTGGATACAAAACTCTAAATGAAAGCAGGTTTTGACCCTCTACTCCTTTAGATGCCTGTACAGATTGACAGCACTTGTAGCTAACGCTGATGAAAAATTGTGAAAACATAAGAAAGAAAATAAAATTTAACTGGGTCGCTATGAAAACTCTATTTTCATGATCTCCTCACCATCTCCATTACTCTCAGACAGAGCAGTAAGGTAGTGGTTTGTTTGTTTGTTTACTATGAAAATTCATACTTTATTTTGAAAGAAACATTTTTTCCTTTGGAAAACTGGCATTTCTCCAACATACTGGAGCCTTACTTCTGTTTGTACAGCAGTTACATCGATAAAGTGGCTATTACTGTTCTGTTGTATATGAGCTGGTTTCTGATGTCCATTACAATGGTATAAATCAAGGGCAATTTACCAAGATCTAAATCTGACTTCAATTTTCTAACTGCCACAGTATTTTTTGCTACTAAAAAAAACCTGTTTGAAAAGAATTTAATGAAAGATAACACTGACAAAGCTGTAGCTATTACTTTAGATGAAAAGCAGAACTTACAATAAATTCTAAAATTTTAATTATTAAACTTAACTTCTGCTGCTGTATTTCAGAGGAAGGAGAGATGATTGCTAAGGAACAAAGCTGAATTAAGACATTAAGTATTTATAGCATTAGTTCTCTAGCTGTATTCAGAACAAATCAGATTTTAACGCAACCAATAACGTCCCACTTGCTTTCTGGCTATTGACTCATCCGCATATGGATCAACATGCAGATCCACATCATCAGTTGAGCTGACTACTGCTGGTTTCAGTTAAATAAGTTAGGAACGTGTATTATTTTTCATTTCTCAAGAGAATTGCAGGCATAGAAAGGACCCTGAGAGGCCAACCTCACCTATCTGCCCACACCAGCAAGAATCAAGGCAGCCATACCTGCTTTTCCAGCCTGTTCTTAAAGGCCTCTGGCAACTTATTTCTCAACAGAAATTTCTAAAACTTCAGTCCTCCAAATGTATAAGGCACCCTAACAAAAAGATTTGTACCATACTGATACTGCTGAACATTTCATCCAATTAAAGCAGCACAGAACTTTTATTAAAATAGTAACAGGAACATTATAATCTTATTGCCTGTACATGAATATGAAATGAAAATTCAATTTACAAAAAAAGAAAGGTAACATGTAAGTGTCAGGAATAGGGTGACTTATAATCCAGGAGTAAACAAATTGATGTGGAAGATGTTTGCCTTTTTTTCTTCAACTTAGTATGCAATTCTTTAAGCTTTTTTTGAGCAACACAGCTCTTGGTGCTTTCCAAAACAAGTGCTTCTTTGGTCTAGTAGCAAACACATTTGGCTGTTAAGACAACTTTCATGATTCCAAAGATGCCACCATATACTGCAAGGGAAATGGGATCCTTTCTATCTATGAAACTCTTAATTGACAAATCCATACCAGGTTTCACTGATGTACCGAGAGTTCTCTTCTATGGTCTTCAGCCCTCATCTCTAGTTTTCTCTGCTGAGCATCTTCATCAAGGATCTTAATGTTTACATGATTTACCATGTTTTGTTTATGACATTCACAGTGTATTGCTTAGTCTCACTGAAATGCCCAAATCACCTCAAAAAATTCCTGTCCTAGCTACTTAAATAATTTTACTTCCAAATGTTTCTGCCTCTACCCATCCACCTAAGGATCTCTTCCAAACAAGTTCTGGTATTTTCTATTTAGCAAGGGAACCTTGACTTGGGGGTGGAGGTAAAAATCCATGTGCAAGACTTCCGTTAACACAAAAAGAACATGACAACTATCTCAAGCATTACTAGAACAAAAGAGCTTTAAAGGCCAGGTATAGACAAAGAGACAGTCAGGGATTTAAAGACCTACCAAACATGGTTAATTAAACCATTTCAGAGACTGTGGTTCACGTAGATTTCTAAAACAATCAATTCAAAGGAAAAAAAGCCCAACATATCCAGGTTTCAATGTAATAAAATTAGAGTAAAATTCTAGAATGCTGAAATAGTCAGGGTATGATTCCCTGCTGAAGCAGAGTTGTCTACATATTCAGCACTGAGTCACAACTGCAGGTCTTACTGTTCTGTGCTGCATATCATTGAAGGGTACAAAGAGGTAAGAGTTGCAACCTGTAGTCCTTAATTTAATTGTTACCATTTTACAAAGCCCTTATCCCTGCTTTCATGAACTTCACCATGTCAGAAAACGCACACAAAATTTCAAAGTAAAGATGTTTATAATTTAAACAACAGCTATTTTGCAGTCAATTTAGGAGTTTAGTTTCATGAAGAAACATTGGCTTGACCTATCTAGATTTGCTCATCTTTCCTCTTATCACCTGACATTCATTTCTCTTCTTCACCCATCCTCTCTAAAAAAACTTCAAAAATTTTCAACTGTGAACATCATTCACTGATTCAGCTCTACATTTTTATTGAAATTCATTTGAGAATCAGTTCTGGCTTCTGAGTAGATTACTTAGTTCAAATATTCATCTTGTATTTTGAGAACATCCTATAATCTACTGCTTGTTCTCTATTATTTGTCCACAGGGTGTGGCAGTTCTGCAAAATACTACGGTGATCTTTATGCCTTCTGACTGGATAAGTCTTAAAAAAAAAAAAAAAAAAACAGTTAATAGTAATAAAGAAAACTTCTGAAAGAAAATTAGAGAAGTGATAAGCACATAATAAAGCTGGTGGATCCTTTAAGTGTTTTTTATACATACCTAGTAACTGCTTAAATGCTCTCTAGCATTGTACATTAGGTCTCTACAAGTAATGGAATAGAAACATTACTACTTTTACTCACAAAAATATTTTCAAATTATTATTATATAGTTCAGTGAGTACTACTTAGTCATCTCATGACAAAATAGTTCCTTGTCTTTTTGGTTTACATTTGTTTTACTGCCACATTTGCTTCTGCATCTGCACTCAAGTTGTGAAGTACATTAACTGTACTGCTGTCAGGTCTTCCAGAACCACTTTGCTTCTAGACACGTACTAGATCATTTGCTGTCACTTAAAAGTAACCCCATGAACAAAACAGAATACCTCTCTACCTCAAGGTCTTCGGTGGATTTTTCTCTTAACTTGTAAATCCCATTGTAACGAATTATCCAGATCACATTTTCACTATTGCCTTCCACTATCTCCTTGGCTCTTCTGATGCAGATAAAATAGGACATGGATCTTTACAGTATCTGTTTTGAAGACAAGCCTACCAAACAGTGATAATTGCCTTTTTTCAAAAGGATTGTAAGAGAAAAAAGGGCACCTGAGATGTGAAGAACTAAGACATGTTTCAGCTATAAAAATTCCCTCTGTTTGTGGATAGTCTTTGGTGCTGAGACTGAAACACAGCATTTCTTTTCTTACAGACTTCTCTGATTTGAGACTCCATAATGCCATTCCTTTTCTGACACCAAGCGAAACCTGCAAAGCTGAAAAAAATTTATCTATATGCAGACATGTGC